CTAAGACATAATAAAAATATTCCTTACAGGGAAATGACTTTAACTTATTGTAATTTCTATGTGTTAGAGAGAAAAAAAATGTGGTATGTAGAAAGAATGGACAGGTTCCAGGGCAAAAGAAAGAGTAGGTAGAGATAACCATATAGTCATTGTCCAATTATTTCAGTATTTTAAGATAAAGCAATTAAAGGTCTATGACATCACTTGTGAATAATTATTTTATATATTTATGTGTATGTACAGGAAATTACCTAATTCATAAGACAAAAACATATAAACATAAACATAGCACGTTAGATAATCCAAGGACTCAAATCACTTTATAAATGAAATTTCCTCCTTGACGAAGTTGGTGCTCATCTTTTCTTATTCTTATTTTCACAGAATCTATAATGTCTATCAATGTACCTATTAACAGAATGGCTATTATACATCACTTAAATATCTTTTGGCTAATTTTACATTACCATGCAACTAGTATTAGGCCAACAGAATAAGTAACCCTTGCAACTTTTCATCTTTAATGAGTAAAGGGGTTATCTGTATACTCTCTTATATATAATGATGTCTCCACCAGTAGGAGGGAAAGAGTTGATGTAGAAATGAGCAGTAGCCTAGATCCTTTATCAGATGTATTTTTTAGTAAATCCTTTTTTTTTGTTTTTTTGTTTTTTGTTTTTCTCCGGTACCGGGAATTGAACTCACAACGTTGTGCTTGCTAGGCAGGCGCTGTAGTAAATCCTTACTTAGTAAGATATAAGGCCTAACAGAGCCATCACTCTACCAGCCATAACTGTATACAGTATAATTTATCACACAATATATATTTAGTTATCAGAGATCACATGAGAATTTGAATTTCTAATTGGATGGTGTCTGCACAAACAAGTTTCATTTTTATATTAAATAGGGTAGGAATTCCTGAAGTATTCATTTAAATAGGCTCATACAATTTTGGGAAAGCAAAATTTTATTTTCAGTTGTACATACTATACATTATTTAGATTTCAATGGCTACTGAATTTAAGAAGTTAGAGATAAAACTTTAAAAATTAAACTTTCTTGCTTTGCAGTATTTTGCTGTGAATACTTTTGGCTACAGGGGGGTATGTATACTTATGTATGTTGAATGTCTTTGAAGAGTCACTCTTTGTTGGCCCATGTTATTTATTTATTTAAGAATCATTGTAAAAGAAACTGTATTCATTTCTTTTTTTTTGTCTTTTGAGACAGGGTCTCCCTATGCAGTTCAGGTTGGCCTTGGGCTCACTTTGCAGCTCAGGCTGGCCTCGAACTCATACTGATCCTCCTGCCTCAGCCTCCTGAGGGCTGGGATGACAGGTGTGCATCACCACAGCTGGTCAAAAAAGCTGTATATAGTTTGTTACACTTATCGAAAGTATTATGAAGTTTGAGTTATACAGAATGGCTATGAAATGTCTAGTAAATTACTAGAGTCTACTATCAACTTAATATTCTGGTTGAAGTTTCAAAAGGAAAAAATCAAGAACAGCTACTAAATGGTAAGGCCAGTGATAGCAGCCATGCACACAATTTCGGGCAATCTTCCCACGTGGAAAGGAGTGTTTGTTCAGTCTTTCTGGACACATCCACAAATACAAACAGCATCTTTGACAATGAACCACAACTGCAGAAATGCAACAACATACTGAGGCCCAACGGACTGTGAAAGGCCCACAGAAGAAACATTGGAGCGGGTCCATGAACCGCGCGCAAAGTTTCCTCAGCCAAGAATTGTTAGATGTTACCAATATTTGAAAAGAGGAAATTTTTGCAAAAGGAAATCTATGTTCTACTCCCTTTCATATCTGCGATTTATATATGTTCTATGGAAATAAACTTGCTAAGTATTGTCTTCTACCTTTAGTATACATCAGAATCAGAGAGCTTGGGAAAATGGGCTGCTGCAACAAGAATTTACACTTCTGTTTTGTTCCTGTCTCTGGTCCTAAACCATACTTCGAGAAACACGGTTAAAGACTTAGCTGTCTTTTTCATTTTTCTCGAAAGGATAGCTACTGGAAAGTTTCTCAACACGTGAAGTAACCACAGAAGTGACAAACAGTAGAACGTAACAAAGAAAATAGTGTAAAAAAAAATTCCAACAGCAAATTAGATCTCTTTTGTCTTTTCAGCTCGTTACTTTTAATTTCCTGAATTTATAAATTATATAGTTCTAAGGGTCATCATATCTCTGCAATCAAAGATCTTAAGCTTTTTCCTGCATATTCAAAATTTTTTTTTTTTTTTTGTCTGACTTTTTGAGACAGGGTCTCACTATGAAGTTCAGGTTGGCCTTGAGCTCACTTTGTAGTCCAGGCTGGTTTTGAACTTGCAACGATCCTCCTGCTTCAGCCTCCTGAGTGCTGGGATTATAGGCGTGCGCCACCACGCCTGGCCTCAAACTCTAATTGTACTGCAGAAAACATGACTGCTATCGTCTAAATGTCTTTGTTTCTTTAAACTCAAATATTGAAACTTTTTGAATATTGAATGTGATGGTTTCAAAGATGGGTGCACTGAGGGGCCCTCAGGGGACAGTTGCTTTACCCTTTTTCACCATGTGAGCACACAGCAAGAAGCTATGGTCTCTGAACCAGAAAATGAGCCTTCCCCACTGGAGCTGCTAGTCTTTGATCTTGGACTTCCCAACCTTAAGAACTGTGAGAAATAAATTTATGCTGTTTATGAGCCACCCAGCTTATGGTATTTTGCTGCATCAGACCTAAACCTGTGCAAGACAATTACGACCTTAACAAACTAAATCTGTTTCTTAAAATCAATAAAGAAATGCTGATGTGTAGCTTTTGCTTTTCAAATAGAGACTATAGTGAAGATAATTCTCTTTCAGAGGGAAAGTATGTCTGTTCAACTGGTTGTTTTGGGGGGTGAGGTGGGGTGTGGGACTTGATTGAAACAGTACAAGGAAAGAAAATTGCAGAATAAATCAGTTCCACATTTAGTAGGTTTTAGTTCTGGGTTTTCCCCAGACATTGAGATCATGTGAGGGACATGAAGAAATTCTGGCCTCACAGTCTAGACTTGATTCTATAAATCATAATCAAGGATAACTATACCACACAGATCTCAGGAAAGAGCTAAATGTTTTAAGGTAACCTGGGCAACACATGGACACCTACAATTCTAAGGCTGAAGAAAAGCTGCAACAAGGGGCTGGGGATTTAGCTAGGGGCTGGGGATTTAGCTCAGTGGCACAGCGCCTGCCTGGCGAGCTCAAGGTCATGAGTTCGATTCCCGGTACCGGAAAAAAAAAAAAAAAAGCTGCAACAATGCTGACTGTCACACCCACGGGAATGGTGATCTCCTAGAACAAAGAGTAGTTTGTTGGATACAGTTCATTATAATCAACATTTATTGAACGCCTTAAGCATTTAAGTAACATTTCTGCTTCTGCCTACACAGCATTTTGAGCACAGCGTCAGCTATACTGAACCGCGGGTATTTTCTGCTTAATAAAATGGAAGCAATTTGGTATGCAGAATTAGGTTATTACAATGTCACTACCGTTGCTAGCAACAGACTTGCGGCACATGGGTCAGGGATCAATGGTAGGAATAAACTGTGGGCTGTTTAAGATCTAAATCAATCTCTAAATTTAAAATTCTAGATGATGGAATAATTTACTCCTCCAACAAATGCAGAGGATCAGCTGCTGCAGCAGGCACTACCAGAATGTGGAGAGAAGGAGCGACCCCATCAGGCACGCGCCTGCCCTTCATGGGTTACAAAATCTGCTAAACTGAGACCTAGCAGATACGGTCTGAAGGTGGAGGTGCGCGGTATCACGATGTATGTACCGCAGGATGGAGCTGCCGGCTTGATCACTGGGACGCAGCTCACTACTCAAGGGTAGCACTTGGTTCTATCAACGAATTACTTATCAGGAGCCTTATTTTAAACACAAACTGCGTTCAACTTTAATTCAGTAAAAAAGAAAAAAGGTCTAGTTTTTAAGAGTTCCTATAGTAGGAGGAAGAAAAATTTTAGAAAGACGCGAAGGAGAACAAAACAGGGCAAAGCCAAAGTAGTTGAATGAGTTCCTCCTAATTTAGATTACCATTTGTTTATGGTGATATTTTCATACCCTGAAATTTCTGCTTAGTATAGCAGAAAACTAACCCTGTAAGATTGTTACATGATTCGGTCACAGCAGTGCCCTGGGTCCCGGCAAGAGGGACAAAGAGGGGGCCACGAAACCTGCGACCCACAGCTCTTCTTCAGCAGGCAGATGCACAGTGACTTTGCACATCTCAAAGATAAGTCAGTCAACTGAACATGCATCCCGGCTAGGAACGGAAATAAAGTGAAGTTGTTGCCCTGAAGGACAGGCCGCCACCTTAGCAGCCATCTCGTTTCTAAGTTTTTATTTTGTCATTTGAAGCTTCAATCTTGCTGGCATGTTTTTCTAAATACTTTTGTATTCGATCAGCTATAGTGGAGTGTTTTAATTTTGTTTTTTGTTTTGTTTTTCTGGTACCGGGAATCCAACTCACGACCTCGCACTTGTTAGGCAGGCGCTTTGCCGCTGAGCTAAATCCCCAGCCCCTGTTTTGTTTTTTGGGACAGGGTCTCAGTATGCTGTTCAGGCTGACCTTAAACTCACTGTTGCACAGGCGGGCGTCAAATTTATGGCGATCCTCCCGCTTCAGCCTCCCGAGTGCCGGGATTACGGGCGTGCACCACCACGCCCAGCTAATTTTCTACTTTAGGAAAACTGGTGTGGTCTTCAAACGTTGCTAACGTAGCTAAAAATCAAAACCGAATGAATAAAACAATACAGGTTTATCAAGCACGCTCCAACCTACTAGTGCTTTGGAGAGGTCGATACAGAGAGTACTGAATAGCAAAGCAGGGAGGTAGTTACGGTACTTAGCGATCCGATGCCTCTCGTGCTTACTACGACCCGCTGAGAAAATTACGCACAGCCTGGCAGGAATCGAAGTGCTTCAGACTCCTACCGACAACGCTTTCCCACCGCGCCCGGCCAGCCCGGTTCTTCTTTTCTCCACCTCGCGTCCTTTCCCAGCAAGCTCCCCTCTGGGACCGGCCGCGGCCGCCCGGCAGGACGAGGACGAGGACCCCGCTGGGCACGAGGCCCCTGGCGTCGCACGCATGCGCAGCTCAGCCCGAGCGCGGGCCCCCTCCCTCCCGAGGCGAGGCTGCGCCGTGCAGGGGGAGTGGGGACGCCGACGGCGGCCGCGGGGGACCATTCTGGCCCCTAGGAGGCCACACCTGGGCACTTCGGCGGAGCCCGTGAGCACTCTCTGCACACGCCATTGTAGGGTTACCCCGCGGGGCCGCCTCCGCGTCCAGAAAGCACTTCCAAACGCCCCGATACGCGGGAAAGCTTGCCCAGGCGCACGGCCGAGACCAGCAGCAGAGCCACCAGCACCATTCAACTGGTCGCTCCAGGGGAAGGAGGCGGACACCTGGGAGTGGGGGGAGGGAGGGCTAACTCTCGCGGGATCTCCTCCCTCCGCAGTGGCCCCGCGCAGTCGAGACCTCGCGTTGCTTGGGTTGGGGCGGAGCCATCCAGCAGGGGGCGGAGCCAGCCGGGGGGCGTCCCCAGCCTTGTTGACTTCGGAGTCCTCGCCCGGCGTCGGCCGGGCCCTCCGCGCATGCCCAGCCGCGGGG